TAGGCATAGGCATAGGCATAGCCATGGGAACTAGGGGGGGCATAGGAATTTGGGAGGGGGGGCAACCGACCAATTAGTAAAGTTTGAACTAGGACTCCTCTAGGGAAAGCCTATTTAAATAAAAATCAGCTTCAAAGGCAGTTCAAACAGGCGGGCGCTGGAGGCTCGCTGAGTAACAGCGGCCCGACTGGCGGGAGCGCCTGGCACATGCGCGCGCACATCGAGAAAACAAATCACACCGAACACAGGCCCCTGGGGGGCAGGAGGGGGAGGAGGGAGGGAGGGAGGGAGGCAAGGGGGCGAAGGAAGGAAAGAGAAGGGGGCATAGCCTTCACACAGCCGCACTCGGAACACGGAGTGCACGTTGGAGCTGGCGTCGGTGCTGGCGTCGGTGCTCGTGTAGGCACTGGCGGTGGTCCCGGCGTAGGCGCAGGCGCTGGTGCTGGCGTCGGTGCTGGTGTAGGCGTTGGCGTCGGCGCTGGCGTAAACGCCAGCGTGAGCACTGGAGTCGTCCCTGGTGTGGTGGCCGGTCCAGTTGTCTCCGCCTCGCTAGCGGTCACCTTCTCGCTGGGAAAGACGGAGAGGGCCCCCGTCGCCTCTGCCGTCATGTCAACCTCCACGTCCCACCCTTCATCAATAGTCCATGCTGTGCTGGCCGCTCCCGTTGACCCCGTCTCGCTGGCGGTCGCCTCCTCGTCGAGAAAGGTGGCAAGCGCAGGCGTTGATGCTGGCGTCGGCGCTGGCGTAAGCGCCGGCGTTGCTGCTGGCTCAGGCGCAGGCGTTGCTGCTGGTGGCGGTGCTGGCATCGGTGCTGGTGTAGGCGCTGGCGCTGGTGCGAGCGTAAGCCGTAGGCGCGTGCTGACGTAGGCGCTGCTGGACGCGCTGTTGGTGCGGGCGTATTCGCAGGCCTTGGAGTTGGCGTCGGTGTTGACGTCGGCGCTGGAATCGGCACTCGCATGGTCGCCGGCGCTGGTGCCTGCGTATGCGCAAACGTAGGTGCTGGCGTCGGTGCTGGCCTCGTTGCTGGTGTAGGCGCTGGCGCCGATGCAGGGGCGCAGGCTTTGGTGCTGGCGCCAATGTTGGTGTAGGCGCTGGCGTCGGCGCTGGCGTAGGCGCCTGCGTTGGTGCTGGCATTGCTCCTGCTGTGGTGGCCGTTCCAGTTGTCGCCGCCTCGCTGAAGATCGCCCCGTGAACGGGAAAGATGGCAGAGGCTCCAAATGTCTCTGCCGTCGTGTCAACTTGATCGTCCCACACTTTATCGGCCGTCCCAGCTGTGGTGGCCGCTCCAGGTGTCTCATTTTCGCTGGTCGCCCCCTCCCCGGGGAAGATCCTCAGGGCTGGCGGCTGGCGTCGGCGCCAGCGCAGGCGTCGGCGATGGTGCTGGCGTAGGCGCAGGCATTGGTGCTAGCTGCGGTGCTGTCCCCGGTGCTGGTGTTGGCACTGGCGTTGGTGTCGGCGGCGGCGCAGGCGTTGGAGCTGGCGTGGGTGCTGGTGTAGGCGCTGGCGTCGGTCGACGCTGCAGTAGGTGTCGTTGTCGGTGCCGGCGGAAGCCTTGCTGCTGGCGTCTGTGATGGCGCCACTCCTGCTCACCGTGCAACTCACTGGGTCCCCACCGTGCTGATCGTAGGCGTAGGCGTTGGTGCTGACGTCGGTGCTGGGTTGGCACTGGTCCTCCTCCTTCTCGTCGTCTCCCATCCCTCGTTCAGAACGGCGCTCTCGCCCAAGCGCGGGCAACAGCTCTGGATCCGATACCTTCCTCGTCGTTGTCATCGCCCATCCTTTCCCCTCCTCCGCCTTTCCGAGGCCCTCCTGCTCCTCCCGCTCCTCATACTCCTGCTCCTGCATTGGACACATATGTGCGGACATATTTCGATGCGACCACGTACTCGAACACACACCTCAGCGAGCTGAAACGCTAGTGCGGTAGCGGAGGGGACGAGCACCGCATCTGCTCGCCCCAAGAGAACGGCAATCCGGGGCCACCAACCGTGAAGCGGCGACCATGCGCACCCCGTGCCTTGGGGACGGCTGTGGTGCCATGTGAGGCTTGCCAGCTGCTGCAGCAGACGCGACAACTGCGCTGCGGCCCGTGCCGCCCGCCGAATTCAAGTGCAAATCCCTGCGCGCTCGGTCCCACCGCGAGCTCCATGTTTCGTTGATTTCGCAGCCGCCGACACGGTTGCCCCAGCAACGGCGGTCGCCGAATATACGCGGCGGCTGCGCGCTTTGACGACAACGAAGTCACTGTGCAAAACTGGGAGGAGCGAAAAAGTGGCCAAAGAGCTGGATGTTCCCACGCGGTTCGCGCATGGTTGCTTTAGACAGCTCTGGGAGCACGACCTCGCGGGTGGCTGCAAGACCATATGTGCGACCACACGTCGCGAGCTCGTCGCAGACTGCATCGTGCAGTCGATTGTCGGCGCCACCGATCCTGCAAGCGATCGCATAGTCACCTTGCTCGTCAAGTTCTTGACCACAGACCCTGCCACCACGAGTGCGGTGTTGGCAAAAACATGCAACGTCAAAAAGCGGCAGCTGGATGCGACGGCGGAAATTGATGCAGATCTATTCATCCAACCAGGGAGCCCAGTCCCCCGTGGCGTTGGCAGCAAATCCTAGCCCTCCTCCCTGGCCACCTCTAGACAGCCAGTGCTTTCGCTGCCAAGACGTCCATGCAGAGAGCGCGGCATCGGCCAACCGAAGCATCCATACTTCACGGCAGTGCCGCAGCTCGATTCCTGCCGTTACAGCGTGCTCACGCGAGATTTTGTGGGCACCTGTTTGCTGATCAGGCGTCGCCTGGGGCACGCCCCACGCGCCAAAGCAAGCGTCGCTCGCAACCAAGCCAGCCGACCCAATCCCTGGCAAGAGCGAGCATGCCGGAACGCTGATACCCCGCGTCGATCACGGCTGGCTGCAAGACAGCTGCAAGCTGTTGAGAAACTCTCGGCATCGTGCTGAGGATGGCTGCGAAATGCGACCGTGAGCCTCAAAAGCTAACAGGTCGAAGTGCCATTCCTTCATGGCTCAGCGGTGCATACAGCATGCTTGAGGAGCTGACCTGCCACTGCGGGTCCGTGCAAGCGGGCCCGAAGAAAGCTGCCCGAACAAGGTCGGCGACCGCGTTGTCCAAACAGCGTGCGTATGGCAAGAAAGCTGCTGGCCAACCAACGCAAGCGTCGCAGGACAGAACACGCTTCAAGACCAAAGGAACTAGCTTCCACAGGGACCCCACCTGTTTCTAAAGCTGCTGCTGTTCCTCCTTCCCCTCTCTCCTCCTCCTCCTTCTCCTCCTACTTCTCCTCCTCCTCCTGCTTATTCCTCTGCTCATTCTCCTGCTCACACTCCTGCTCACCCTCCTGCCCATCCTCCTGCTCATCCGCCACCTCCTCCAAATTTCACTACTCGGCTCCCCGTTCGGATTACGCATGACACGGTGGGGTCACTTGGGGGATCCAGGCCCGCCAGGACACCCGTCGGCGGATAGTGCAAAATCAGCGCAATGGGAAGGGATGAGTGGGATGGCTAGGATGTTGTGCTGAAGCGTACGAGCGTGAGTACCAGACAACAGATCCGCGAGAATACCTTAATCAAACAATCCTGCGACGAGGTGCCAGATATAGTACTACTCATCTATTACACGGGCACACAGCGCCCTTCGTCGAATAAGTACACACGATGAGAAGTCTTACCATAAGAAAATCAAGGGCACACTCGAAGCCGGTCTTTGAGCTTCCTGATGCGCTCCAATGCCCATGTGGGTGTCATGGGCCATCGGGGTATACGACATTTCCGTGGTGCACCTGCAGGCAGGCGTGCTTCTTATTGGATGCGCCCACTAGAAAAGCTTCCTCCACGTCTCCTCCTCCCTCCTCGTCTCCCCTCTCCGATTTCCTGGCCAGGGACTTCGAGGATTTAGGCAGACGTCTCCGAAGCTCTTCAGGCCACCATCAGCAAATTCAAGGCTATTGGTCTGCAGGACTGGAAGTCCTGGATCACTCACGAATTGGACCAGGGGGGGAAACGGGCCCACGGCGTCATGAAAGATCCGACCGCGTGGACTCCTGATATACGACCATGTCGGCAGGGGGGCGCGTGATCTCGGAACCTCTGGCTATGCTGAGGAGCGAGAGCGAGAAGCTTGCGGCCTACTGGGAAGACACCAGAACCCCTCCGGCCACGGGCCCACGTGGGACGCATGTGTCCACTCCTCTTATGGACCCTGATACAATCACGGAGCTATCAAGGCAATACAAACCATGCAGCGCTGTAAGTGTGGACGGGTTTCACGTGAGACGCTACGCGCTGCTCTGTGACGACAGCCTCCGTGTCGCCGACATCCTCATTCACCTGATGGACTCGTTGGGCTCCCTCCCTGCTCAATTCCAAGCGGTGATGATTGCTCTTCTCTCTAAAGTGCAAGGATGATTGCGACCAACAGGAGTTGTTGGCAGTCTATACAAGCTCTGGGGCAAGGCTCTCAGACCATACTGGCTGAACTGGGAGCTCACGCACGAGAAATCCTATGCTGCTGCAGGTCACCACCGTGGGGCTCTTGATGTAGTATTGAGGCAAGCATATCGGGCGGACTTGGGAGTTGCAGAGGGAGATGTTGCTGCCAGCCTGTTGTGGGATGTGCATACATACTACGACTTGTTTAGTCTAGCTCGTCTCGGGGACCAGGGACCCAGAAACGGCCTACCTCCTGTCACTTTGTATATTAGGCTGGCTGCCTACAGGGCTCCTCGGTTTGTTTCTGTGGCTGGTTTTATCAACAGTCCTTGGTTTGTGATCCGCGGGGTAGTGGCTGGATGCTCGTTCGCGGCCACTCACGTTCGTAGACATATCCATCGAGGCATCTGATAAGGTCCCCCTCTCGGTTCGCACTGCCTTCGACTCGTACATCGACGATAACACTCTCTCGTCGGTCGGGCCTCCCTAAGTTGTGGTCAGAGAACTGTGAAGCAACAAATGTACTGCACCGTGTGATCACGATCGACATGGAGGCAAATACAATCGAAGACAAGATCGCAATGATTTCTTCCAGTCCAGCTGTAGCGAAGGCTCTTCGGGACCACCTCGGGGCTCTTGCGGGGCCGCACCTCTCGGTGACCACGAATCTGGGGGTCGACGCCACGGGTGGACTGGCCAGGCGACAGGCAGGCAGGTCTCGCAAGCTGAAGTTGCGCATGGCTCTGTTGAAGAGGAAGGTCAAGCGGCTCGAGAAGCAGCGGACCTTCCTTGGCAAGCGCACCATCAGGATGTGTGCCAGTGGTCCCACGCCTGGTGCGTTTTATGGCTGCACAGTCTTCGGGATGTCCGACAATGAGCGGCTGCCGGTCAGGAGAGGAGCTGCATCCACTGTTAAGCCGCCAGCAGGGATGAGATCGCTGTCAGGACTCGTGATTATTCGGGAGCATCCTGGCTGGTTCGCCTCGGTGGGGGAAGCCGCTCGTTTCGCTCAGGAAGCTCGGCTTCGACGCCCCAACATTAAGTCGGGCGTGTCCCCCTACAGGGGGATTTTCGACGAAAAACAAACTATACTCGAAGAATACTCCAAAATGGTCCACAAATAATCCAAAAAATAGTCCCCAGACTCTTTTGTGACTATTGTCCTGTAGAGAGACGGGCCCGACTTAACACCAACACGTTCGACGGTGCGCTTTCTTGGGCTGAGCTCCGTGAAAGTCGGGAGGCCGCTCGGGGATCTTCTGACCCGGATCAATCCAGACCCGGGTCAGCAGGAAACCAAAAGCTGCAATGCAGGAAAAAAAACCGCAACGCAGGTCTTCGCAAACCCGGGTCAGCCAATGTGTGCGGCCGCCTCGCGGCCACGAGCGGCTCGCTGACCCGGGTCAGCCAGAGGGGGTCTTCGCAGGATCCTGCAGGATCCGGCGCTCTGGCTGACCCCCGTTGGCATGGACCCCCGTCTCAAGGCTCCCGGAGGCCGCTCCCGGGCCTCCGCGCCCGGCCACCCCGGAGGTAAGGCGTCGGGCCCCTCGGCTGCTGCGCCGTCGCTGGCAGGGACTGGCCGGAGGATGCAGTCGCTTTACGGGGCGTGAAAGCGACCACAGCCACTGCTTTTCTCTTGTTGCCGCCTTCAAGCCCGCAGAAACAAAGCAGTGCTTGTGGTCGCTGAGCTTGGCATCAAGGAAATGACCACAACCGCTGCTTCTTTTTTCGGCTGGCTGGAAGGCGGCGCAAACAAGAAGCAGTGGCTGTGGTCCTTTTCCCGTCCCGCACGCTTGCAGCCTGCACGGACGATGTCGCTGACTCGATCTCGCCGACCCTCACCTCGCCCGAGCTGGCAGGAGCGTGCCTTAAGCCGGGTGTCCCTCGCGCGTTGGCAAGGGATGTCGCAAACAGGGACGGGGTCGAAGGCAGGGCTTGTGTTGACAGCACGAACGCTGCCTCTTCCTCTTCCACATTCACGCCCGCGCAGAGGGGATGTACTCGCAGTGCTGCCACCAATGCAGTCTGGACGTTTACGCGTGCACGGTCTCTCGGCTACCAAGATGAAAACCGTATGTGCGCTCGCTGCGAGGAGGCGGAGGACAATTCGAAGCATGGTCTTTGGCATTGTAAGAGTTGTAAGGAGGAGAGGGAGGAGATTCTCAGTGGCAAGTATGTGGAGCTCTTTGCAGAGGCTGAGGCTACAGCTTCGAAGGAGGATGTGTAGCTGTTCACCTGCGGTTTGTTCAAGCATCCTGGGGATCAACAGCCTCGACCTCTGACTGACGACGGTGTTATGTTTGATTTCGATGCTCCTGGGGATGTCGTGAACTCCGAAGATTTAGAACTTTCTGGAGATTTGTATATCGATGGGCCATGTTTTCGGCATCCGATCCGAGAGCTGTCCAGGTCTGGCGTCGGCGGCGTGGTGTTGAAAGCTGACAGCTCCCTCGGAGCCTCTTTTTACGGGCCCTCTGAGCCCCCTGGCCCCAAACCCCTCAGGGGCTGAGTACGGAGTCTTCGCGGCTGTCGTGGCTGTGAACCACTGGAAGGTGGCTCGGTCGCTGGCGTTGCCCCACAAGTGAGTGCATGCAGGGTTCATGCTGCAGGCTCATGCGGGCCACCGCCAGCATGTGGCTGACGTGTGTAAGATCCGAGCGCATCAGGAGCTTGACGAATCTCTCCCTGAGGCTGAATCTCGCCTCAGGCTCGACAATTATCATGCTGACAGGTTGGCCAATTTGGACCGTGATCCGCACGCTAGGCCATCCTGCGAGGAAGAGCGCGAGGCGTCGCGGAAGATAAAGATTGCGCGTCGGGTTGCGAAGCTGGCCGCGCACCTGCCCCCGCTTTGGCAAAGGTTAACTAGACTTGCAGGACGTGAACTGGGTGACCCCTGCTGGCGGAGCCAGCCGCCAGGACAGGGCCACACACCAGTGGGCGAGGATCGGGCGCTCCTGGCAGTGCAATGTTTGTATCAGGGGTTCGAGGCTTCCTCGCCCTCCTGCTGGACCTTGCGCGGGCCCGAATGGCTTGCGAGGCGTGAGCCCAGCCACTCTCGAGGAGTGAGGGCACAAAATGGCCGCCGTCGACTGTTCGGACGGCTCTTTTATCGCACTGTGCACTCGTTGCAAATTGTGCAGCTCTGGAGGTAGAGTGCAGGACATTGGTAAAGCGTGTCCTCCTCGCACGTTTGCCCCGCACTGGTCACAAGATGCGAGGGCGCAGGTGCAGCTGGAATCGCACCTTGGCAGGCAAGCATCCCAAGCATGACTCTGTGATCGTTTGGATGCCTTGCAATAAGCCCCCGTCCAGGCGTGACCAGCTGCCCCTTGGCTTCTGGTCGCCCCTGCGAGGGGCCACCCGGCCCCATGGTCTCTGATCGGCGGCTCCGCCTCTCTTGGCACCCGTCGGCATCAGGGGTCACCACTGGCCTTGCCCGCGTGCGTGCAGCACAGGCAGGCAAGCTCCAGGACTCCCTCCGTGGTCATGCTGACGGCCCCGAGGAGAGGGACACGAGGGTGCGGCCGTCCTCCTCCCGAGGGCTACGACAAGCCGGAGGAGGTGGGGCCGCTCTCCGCCTTGAGCGACGTCTCGGGCGGCAGCAACGCTGGATGTCAAGGCGTGGAAGCTGCATGCCCTCGGTCGGGAAGGGCCCTCGGGGCCAGGACCCAGGTGGAGGCAGGAGTGGTCCTCGGGGATGCTCGGGCCCAGGTGGTTGGAGGAGAGGCCGCACCCCATGATTATACCCCGACGTCGGGAAGGGCCCAGGTGGTTGGAGGAGTGGCCGAGGCCGAGGTGGAGGGAGGGGCGGTGCGCCCTGCCCAGGTGGCGGGAGGAGAGGCAGTGAGTGCTGTTTCCCCAGACTGGCAAGTTGTTTCGTGATAATGATTGGCGGCACGGTGGTCTGGGCAATCTGGATAGAGTGCTTCGCCGGCTGGAGATCGGCCGCAGGACTCGCCATTTGTCGTGGCCCACAGCTGCTCCAGGCTGTGGACGGTCTTTGCGTGTCCTTCGGACGGGCCAACCATCCTTCTTCAAGGGCGAGGGCCAAGACTGGGAGAACATGGTGCTGGAGATTCGCGAGCGGGCTGCTGGGGTCCCTCCCGTCCTACGGGGAGCCGCGTGGTCGCTGGTGTCTTCCACGTGAGCTCCTTTGGTGGTGCCTCGACTGCCTGCCAGAGCAGGGCAGGCTCGTGGAGATGTCTCAGCGCCTGGACGGTGCCGAGCCGTCGCTGGACCGCGGAATTCGGCGTGGACGCGGGCTCCTCAGGGAGGTCCCCGTGCCGACGCGGTGAAGGGCGTGGTCTGAATGGAGGTGTGGGGCCTGCCTCTTCCCCCCCCCGTCCCTCCTCCCCCTTATTCCTTCCCCTCCTCCCGTGGCGCGCGGGGCTGCGCTGCCGCCGCCGTGGGAGCTGGGCCTCCGAGTACCAACTCCTCCTCCCTCCTCCTCCTCCTCCTCCTCCTCCTCCTCCTCCTCCTCCTCCTCCTCCTCCTCCTCCTCCTCCTCCACCTCCTCCTCCACCTCCTCCTCCTCCTCCTCCTCCTCCTCCTCCTCCTCCTCCTCCTCCTCCTCCGCCTTCCTCCGCCTCCTCCGCCTCCTCCTCCTCCTCCTCCTCCTCCTCCTCCTAGCCTCCTCCCCTACCCTCCCCCCCCCCCCCTATTTCCTCCCTCCTCCCTCCCCCCTCCCTCCTCCCTCCTCCCTTCTCCCTCCTCCCTCCTCCCTCCTCCATCCTCCCTCCCCTCCTCCCTCCTCCCTCACTCCCTCCTCCCTCCTCCCTCCTCCCTCCTACCCTCCTCCCTCCTCCCTCCCTCCCCCTCCTCCCTCCTCCTCCCTCCCTCCCTCCTCCTCCCTCCTCCTCCCCCTCCTCCTCCTCCTCCCTCCTCCTCCCTTCCTCCCCCTCCTCCTCCTCCTCCTCCTCCTCCTCCTCATCCTCATCCTCCTCCTTCCTTCCCTCCCTCCTCATCCCTCCTCATCCCTCCTCCCTCCCCCTCCTCCCTCCTCCCTCCTCCCTCCATCCTTCGTAATTAGCTGCTGCGACAGCTCAACGTGGTGTTGTGTGCAGCGCAGGGCCAAGGCGAGACCATATGCTGTCGTGCGGCCAGGGGCGGCACTCTCCCTGGCACTTTCCCAGAGGATGAGCTGGCGCCCACGACACGAGATGGTTCCTGGGCCGGCCGCGCGGCCGGCCCAAAGGCCCCTGGCGGCGGCGCTCTGCCGCCTGGGCTGAGCCGCTCGGCGCCAGCAGGCGGGCTCGAGGCAAAGACGTCGCCCTCCTAGCGCGCCGGGTCACGCAGGACGAAACGCAGGACAGGACGCAGCTCCGTGCCACGCAGGCCTTGCATGCGGTCATGGCGCAGGCCTCCGACCAGGCGGCCCTCGACGTGCCAGCCGAGAAGGAGCCGGAGACGCTGAAGAGGCTGGAGGAGCAGGGCGGCCCCCGCCGCGAGGGCCAAGAGAGAGAGCTGGAGGTCATGCACGGTGAGTTCACCATCCAGAGGCCGCCGAGGCCTGGCGGGCCGTGGAGCAGGGCTACGTGCAGGCGCCCATCGCGGAGCAGGCCGATGCGGAGCAGGCGGCCGTGCCGCGAGAGCTCAAGCAAGTTCCGGCGGGCCCGGGGGCAGGCCGACGAGCAGGAGGCCCTCGACGCGCAGGCCCGTGCAAGGCGCGAGCCCGCGCCTGCCCAGCACCGCCCTGGACGTCAGCTCGGGCTCGCCGGCGCAGCAGGCCGACACCCTCGACGCGCAGAGCGACCAGAAGGCCGCCCTGGAAGCGAGCTGGGGCTCCTCCGCGCCGCGCACGCCGCGCTGCAGGCCAGGAAGACGCTGGAATGGGCCGCCCGGCGGCCTCCCGCGCGGATGCCAGCGCCGCGCCGCGCCGCGCCCG